ATTAGGAATATACCATTTTTTACTATTTGGAGGCAGACAAAAAAATTTCATACTTACAGGGTGATTGCGGTTGAATGGGCAAGATGAAAAATTAAAAATGTTGAAATTGTTGCCAAAGACTAGAAAATAATTGCCTTGTAAGTTACAACTTGTTCACTAAAAATATTTTTTAATCCACATACAGGGTCATACATTGTGCTATTACAAAAAGGTTCATTTTACGGTAAGTCTAAGTAAGATCTAGAGATATTAATCGTGATCGGATTACATGTTTATTTGTTTTGAACATTGCCATAAGTGCCTCTTTAATATATATTTAAATCAGATTGGGAGCTCCTTTTAGTGCCACCCATGAGGTAAAGCTTCAATACATTTAATTTTAAGTGCGATATCCCCTGTAGGTCAATTCCATTGATTGTATAATAGGGGAGGTCAAAAATTAGTGAAAATTTAAATATTTAGCATAGTTCTTGGGGTTAGAAATTTAAAAAATAGCTTTGTGCACTCTGATTCAAAATTCAAAGGGTTTATGGCAGCTATAAGATAATAAGACCTGTTTTGAATATTAGATCAACCCAGAATTCACCATCTTGAGTTCCACCCAACTATCCACCCACCAATTATATCTTACTGATTTCTGTCAAGAGATTATTAAACTTTTGGTAAATATTTTTTGGCATCAAGCTTGGCACGCATGTACGTAGAGTTTCCACTTGTTTTGACATTGTTATAAATGTTCTTATAACTTGGAAAAATCACAAGGGTATAGGAGAAGAACAAAGTCAAATATTAAATTAATGAAGGAACAGCCTGAACTAAAGGTAAATTACCAAATGACTGACGTAACCGAATCAAAACGTTAATGGTTAAGTATTAAGTGCAAATACGAGATGGCGGTATAAATTAATTTTCTTCTAGTATAGGACCGAAATCGGATATTTTCTGGTAATAATCGGTCTACAGAATCATCGATGCTATTTAGTAGATGTATTGTTGGAAATCTAATTATTCTGGTACCTTGCATTTCCAAGAAACCATAACACTGATGAAACATGTGGGCAAGTACTTAAAGCTTCTCGAAAAGCATGGACATGTACATTAATAGTAGAAAACTGGACCACCTTGTATATTAGTAATGATAAAATATAAAACTACTTGCATGTCTGCAAGTTTTGATGTTCTATATCTACTATGATAATGTAACGATAGTCTAATTTATTATAATCATTCCGAACATTTTCACAAAAATTGATCACTTTTTGTGAAAATTTTCTTCATTCTGATTATCATCATTGTTAATAGGAATATTCTCAATGGATTCTGATATTTTATTTGAAGATGAGGAATCATTATTATCTGGTTAGTACTCGTCACTCGATCACGCAGAAAGTTTTTTATTCTGAATTAGAGCAATACTGCAGTACAAGGTACACAATTGCAGTTTAACTGAAGGGATAAACACAGATTTTGATAATAAAAGGTCGCAAAAATATTTATGCCATTAAAATTAAAAATCACAAGCGTTTAGTGATACACACACAAAATTTGATTGTCCTCGCATTATGACAATATTTAGAAAAATGCAGACGTAAAGTACAATTAAGTCTTTGTTTCACCGAATCACGTAATGGTTTTTACAATGGTTTTACAATGAAAATCTATTGGTGAACTCTTATGTAATCAGCTATATGCCTGATCATGATCCTATTATGACAAATATCTCACAATCTGCCAAAAACTACACAAGTTCCTACAATACATAAAAAACTATAACTAAAATCGATACTGATAAATTAAAACGAAAATTCGAAACTGTAAACTGGGAAAGTGTTTGCAATGAAAATAATCCAGAAATTGCAAAACAACTTTTTTATGACACGTATCTTAATATCATTGAAACATGTCAAACCACTCAAAATATTAAAATTAAAATCCATAAAAAAATAAAGCCATGGATAACAAATATAATAATACTCTCCCTAATTCACCCCCTTACGAGTGAATTTTAACCCCAAAAGCTGAGCTTGTGCGGGGAAAGGGACGGCTATTATTATTAATTAATTCTATTAAAACTAGGGATAAACTTAAAAAAGATCTACAAAAAAACTATACTATTAACAAACTCACTATAAAACATTTATAAATAATTTAAACAAACTAATATCAAAAACTAAAAATGACTATTATAACAATAAAATAAACCAAAACAAAAATGATCTGAAGAAAATTTATCAATTAATCTCTGAATCAACTAATGAAAATCATAAAAAAAATTGTTAACCAACATAATGAATTTGAAAATGATAATGAAATGGCGAATTAATGCTATAACTACTTTTCGACTATTGGCACTAATATGTTCACAAATATCCCTGAATGTAATGTGGATGTTCCTGTGTCACTGAAAAATCAATGTTTCTGAAACCGATATGCAAAAACGTTATTACAAAACACATAGTTTAAAAAACAACAGTGCCCGGGATTTGATTGTATAACAGTAAAACATTTGAAACTACTACATCCGTATTTACTGGAACATTTAATGCATATAATTAATTGTATTTTTAATACAGGAATCGTACCTAAACAATTTAAAACTTCAATTATAACACCTGTTTATAAAGCTGGTAATCCAAAATTAATAACTAACTATAGGCCTATCAGTTTAATTAGTAATGTGGCCAAAATATTTGAGAAATGTGTAAAAGATAGACTGACAGATTTTTTAAAAACTAATGACTTACTTCCCAAGCACCAATATGGCTTTGCTAAGGGGCCTTAACTCAGATGCTGTGCATGAATTGATTTCATATGTTACTGATGAAATGAATACTGGTAACAAGTGTATAGCTATATTTCTGGATCTAGCAAAAGCATTTGACACGGTGCCACATCAGAAGCTCTTAAATGTTCTTAAACAAAATGGAGTGAGGGACATCTTGTTAAAGGTTTTTGAAAATTATTTTACATACAGACAACAGAAGGTAAAGGTCAGAGACAATGTGAGTAACCTTGAAAATATACAAATCGGAGTGCCTCAAGGGACTATTCTAGGACCTATACTATTTAATTTATACATTAAAAGCTTAACTCAGATTGATATTCAAGGTAAAGTTGTATCATATGCGGATGATACAGTGCTAGTCTTCAGTGATAAAGATTGGGAAGCCGTCAAGATACATGCTATAGCTGGAATGGAACATGTCGAAAACTGGCTGGATGTTTTTAAATTGTTTTTGAATGTTAACAAACAAAAAACTACATTGCTTTTTCAAAGATAGTGGCTGATCGACCTCAATTTAGAAGCTTAACATGTCAAAATTTAGACATATATACAGGAAACAGAAACATCCAAATATTTAGGTACAATTATTAAAATGGGACTGCCATATAATATATATATAGCAAAAAAACTTGGATTTCTGATTTATAAATTTTATCTTCTAAAACAATTTCTCAACCAGGATCTACTAATAACATTATACTACAGTCTAGTAGAATCTATACTACGATATGGAATCTTAGTATGGAGAGGCCTGTATGGAACTACATTAAATCAGTTAAATGTTATTCAAAACAAAATCTTGAAGTTAATACATAAAAGAGATAGATTATGTCCCACCATAACTTTATATAATGAAAAAATTAGCAATGTTAGATGTTTATATATTCACGCAGTGTGTTATATACAAAAAAATTAATTTTTAAAAAACCCTTTAGAACATATACATAACACTAGAACTGCATCGTGACTTTTTAAAAACAGTGTAAATTATCTAGGGATAAAGTTCTATAACGCTCTACCTCTTCATATACAATTATTAAACAAATATAAAAAATTCTGTAAAGTTAGCAAAATATATATTTTCCAAAATAATGCAGTTTATCAGAATATTCCAAGAATACCGGACTTAATACATGGATTTTTTTTAAATAGTTTTTTTTCTGTTTCTTGCTCAAACTGTTCAAATTTTATTTTTTAATTAAAAAACTTTTTTTTTTATTTCCTTTATAGTTCATTAAATATAATTAAAATAAAATTTTAATTTTTGTCAGCACATACAGGTGTTCTCACCTAGGTGTTTGTTATTATATAATTGGTTTCCATTATTGTACTTTATTGTAACTTATAACTATTAATAATTATAGCTTTTAAATGGCCAATGTCTAATAAAATACAGGCGTAGAGTATACTTACGACTTTGTTCTTTCAAAATAGGGAAACAAAAATTTGAACATCCATCCCAAATAGGACTTATGCCAATGTTGCAGTAGAAGCACATGCATCTCTATTGACAATGATTAGGTAACTGACCAATACGACCTAACTACCGTCTAGCGGCCAATATTGGAATTACATTTATGGCTTTGTTTTGGCTAATAAGTCAAAATATTCTTTATTGTTTTATGCAAATAACTCATTTTTTGAAAAAGTTGCAGTTACGTCGTTATTCCACCGGAACGGTGATATATAAAAAAATGTGTGGAAAACGTATGTATTTTGTTCAACCTCACAGCGGTGATACAATAGGTTGTACAAAATAACCGGAAAAAGCCTGTGATAACCGAGTTGGACAAATCACTTAAAAAAAAAAATATTTGTTTTGAGTTATGTCATCCCTTTGAAGCACTTTTGCAATTTTTTCATCTATACTATAAACAAAAACGCTAATTTTCAAAAAGTTGCAAACCTGATGCAATGTTGAAAATATCCAAATAGATATTACTTCAAGTTTACAGCACTTTTGCATTTTTTTTCTCAAAATTGTAAACAAAAGCGTCATTTTCTTATGAATTAACTAATTCAGGACCTTGGTAATGGTTGCAAATTAAAACTTAATGTTATTTAAAATTCTTTCAAAGTTTGAAAACTGTTGTAATCAATGTAAATTTTTCAAAATAGGGTGTCTTCATTGACTGGCCTATAGCACAATTAAAGTATTTCGTCTGCAAAAAAGAGTGCTACGAATTACTGTTGATGTAGAAACAGAAAGGTGCTATTGTAACAAATAAGTTTATTTTGTTTTCAATAATTATAAAAATATTTAATAAAGTTACAGCACTCTTAAAGAATAAAACAAAAAGTTTACAGTTGTTGAAAATTGCATTAGTTCTTTTTTACAATTAGCACTGCTGATGGGGCCAAACCTAACGAATCCAAGGGTTTATCATAATCGTCTGAATCAAATATCTTTTTAGGAAAGTTGGTCATCAAACTAAAAGGACCCTCATTAGCTTTTCTCTTCAATTCAATAAAGACTCTAACTGCTGAAAGTGGTTCTTTGGCTCCAAAAGTCTCAGTTAATCCTGTACCATCTGGTAATCGAATTTGCAATTTAACCTCTGAATAATTTGCTTGTTTAGATGGTGGAGCTTGAGGAATTGGCGCTGGTGGCGCAGGGGGTGCACTAGCAGCAGCTAATTCCTCTGGGGTACCAAACTTTGCTTTGCGTGCTAATTTATCCTAAAAAATTATAAAAATAAAATTTCTAAAATAGAAGCTTTATAATAAAACACCTCAATAGTTGTAGGCTTTTGACTTAGTACATTTCATAGGTGAGTAATTCTTATAAAATATAAAATTTCGAAACTAAAAAGTATTTACTTGTTCAATTTGTTCTCTAATCCTCTGTTTAGCTAATTTCTCCTCTTCTTTTTCCCTTTTTCTTTGTTCTATAATTTTTTTCATTTCCAATTCTTCATGTTTTCGTTTAGCTTCTAACAACTCTTTTCCTGACTTAATTCGATTTTTTTCTCTCATTAAAGCTTCTTCTTTTTCTTTTGATTCTCTTTCCAATCGTCGCTGCTTTAATTTGGCTTCAATTTTTGCAAGCTGTTCTTTTTTCTCTTCATCAGTAAGTGGCCTTTTTTCTTCTGTAGATTCAGAAAAATTCTCATGGCCTGAAAATATCACAACATGAGTACTATATTATACAATACAATATACAGTACATTCTATTTTGAAGTTACAATATATTTTCTTTAATATTTAAGTATGTTTTGTAACTGAAAATACTGGTTTAAAAATGTCATTTTGATTGTTTTGTTTTTAAAAAAATAATTTTTATAATGAAATTAAATAATATACAAATAAATACATGTCTGGGAAATTTTGTGGTGTTTAATAAGAGCTTCAATTAGTAATTATATAATAGTATTTTTTTGTATTGGTTTTCACTCAAGTTTTCAAATAAAGATTAAAATAAGTATTTTTGTATGAATTTATTTATTACTTAAGTAGGCCCTTATATTCTCAGTTTCTCTTTTCAGTAATTTTCTGTATTTGGTATATCTGCCTATAGTGGGAATAAGCACATAAGTCAAATTATCATATATTTTTATTAACTTATTAACTTTATTAACATAAGTCAATAACAAAGATATTAGAATGATTGTGTATATGCACATTAGTCAAAGTGCACTGTGATTAGGGGGGTATAATACTGCTGTGTTAATTCAAAAAATTCAACAATAAATTTTTTGTTCATCTCTATAATTTCCATGGATATATATTCTATAAAATCCGAGATTTAATGCTTAGAAAGTTTTTTTCTCTTTATTGAAAAACCGAATAAATTTGAATAAACATGTATCTGTCAAAATATGAGATTAGGTCATCATTATTTATAGAAGCGAAATATTACCTGTCTTCGAAGCATGAAATTCTACTTCTTCATTGGTTTTGAATAGCTTTCCACAGTCATCACATCTTATAGACTTGGCGATAAGTGCCGATGCACCAGAATCATCCAGTAATTCATCTTGACCAGAAGCGGCACCATTTTCATTATTACTTTCGGTATTATCTTCATTTTGTATCTGAGCATCATTAGAAACTGGTGGTATATCTACTACATCATTAGATTCATGAGATAGCAACCAATCCATTACTATTTGCACATCTTTACTACCAGTTTCTTTTACTGCTACTTCACTGAAAGTAACATATAATAGTAATTATAATGGTTATTTTCTTGAGAAATATATATTTTACTTACGCTCGTTCTTTACTAAAACCCATTTCAATTAACATATCTACTATATTCGACATTTTTATATCAAAATATTAATTATTTCTAAAAAGAACAAAACTTCAATGACAGTTCTCAATTGACATTGACAAATGGCATGAAATAATGAACAATGATGAATGTTGCCAACAGAAAGAAATGTTTGGTTAGATTTAAGTTAATTTTTCGCGATTATCTTTATTTTACCTTGAAAAGGAATTCTGTAAGAAGCTCTTCAAGCTTATATCAAGCTAGCGGACACTCTCTGGCGATACCATACAGGACCTGGTGTTTTTTTGTAGCTTTTTTAATACGCTGTTTCCGAATTTGTAACTTGCCCGGATCCGAATAAACACCGAATTCGCTAAGGGCCGATTCCATCGTTTGTTAAACGGAGATTAAAATGACATTGTTAATGTAAAAAATGTCATTTTAAACTTCGTTTAACAAAACGGTGGAATCGGTCCTAAGAGAATCACCTAGTATTTAATTTAATTATCGCCATCTATGTCGCAATAGGCGCAACTCGATAGTGTGACTATTTGTTGATAGATGGCGCCAGTTCGCATTTTACTTATTCTGGCCATTTTACATCCAATATATTTTTGAAAAATTTAGATATATAGACTATAGTTTGTGCAACAAGAGTGGATATTGACAATAATCCACTCGACTCGTATAGTATATTTTTTCTACGGCTTACTAACAAAAATCTACAATTGAAAAAAATTATTTTAGATTATTAAGATAAAATAACTAATTTTAAAATAATTGAAATTTCGGCTTGTACCTATTTTAGCTCTTAATTTTCTATGTTATTACATTCTCATCAATGTAATTGATTTCAACATGATTGTATTTGATTATTAATAGAGTATTTGCTTGACTCCTTGAAAAAATCATATTAAATTTTTGTATAATTGTTTAAACTTTTATTTTTATTAATCTCAAAGTTATTATTTATATTGGCGTCAGCAACAGATCTAATTCATTTTAAAAATGTCTACCAAATCTTAGCTTTTTATCTTTTATATAGTTTCAAATTTCTTTGGAATAAAATTAATAGCAATTAAACTCTCACTTTAATAATTGATAGGCAAATTAAGATTTGTTCACACAAACTCTGTTTTTACGTTAATACATCGATATTCGCTATAATAAAGCAAAAAATTAGTTACGTAAACCAATCCTAACTTGAATTTTAGGTTTTTAGGTTTAATTAATATTTAATTAATAAGCATAATCAAAAAGAATAAATTTATTAAAAAAAAAACATACAAATTCAATATTTTAAAAATATATTAAGTAGCTGGGACTATCGGGCTGCTACATAATCCAAGATATCATTGCACCCCTTAATGTGATCTCTAAAACAGAAAACACACAGTATAAGTAAAAAATTAACCATCAAGTTCTATGAAACCAAATTTTTCAGAAAAGCAAATAGTATATTATGTACCAAGGGACTAAAGTTCCACTTTTAATTCCGAGGGATTAAAACGCACTTTAGTCTCGTGGTACATACGCTATTTTTGTACAGCAGGGACTAAAACTTAAAAATTTACACGATATTTATGTGAAAAGAAACACTATATTCTTTCATAACGATTATATAGGCAACACATTATACGCAAATCAAGTGTATACACTAAATTGTCAAATTGAAATTTATTATTTTGACGTTTTATAGTAATCACTTGTGTTTTTAATAATTGTACTATTAATAAATAAAGATATATGCAAAGTTTCAAACAAAACTATTTTCGGGAAAATCGGTACATATAGGATGCCCCATAATGTTTTGCTGTTTTTCAACTGAAATAAAACAAATGCTTTTGTCTAAAATATATTAAATTTAATGGGAAAATGTTAATATTAAACGCGTATTTTAATTTCTTAAAAATAATATTCTCCAGGTGTCTTCCTTGTCGTGTCACACAGCTCGTATTATTTCCTCTGCAATATCGTTTTAGCCTGAATTCGCAATTTGAAGGCCCCCAGAGTGCGTGGTGGAGTCAGATCATGACTTCTTGGGGGGCCAACGTGTCACCCCATTTTGAAAAAATATTTAGTAGTGCTGCCAAAGATCTTTTGGCGGTGTGCTGTGGCACCATCTTGCTAAAACCAGGTATTGTTACTAAATAACCCGCAACCTTCCTCGACTTGGCAAATACAGAGTCGCGGCGCTTATATTGACGTTGCCAAATTAGTGCTCTCTAAAAACAACAAAACAATATGGGACACCCCATTATATTCGCTTATAAAAGATATTACCTCCCAAATAAAATAGTTTGCTATGGTTTTTATTGGTTTTGTTATTTGAGGGACTAAAATTTTTTAATCCCTTGGGACTAAAATGCATGTTTTAGTCCCTGAGGTACAAAAAATAACGTATGGACTCTGACTTTTATTGCATTCTATGCCCCATGTTCTGTATGCTATTTCAAAGGAACCGTGATGCTTTTATGTTTCATTTTCTCACATGATACTATTGCTTAAAGATCAAAAGGTGGGTGGCATTGAGAACTCAAAATCATCTAAAAGTCAATAATAAACTTATAAATAAATAAATAAATAAATAAATAAATAAATAAATAAATAAATAAATAAATAAATAAATAAATAAATAAATAAATAAATAAATAAATAAATAAATAAATAAATAAATAAATAAATAAATAAATAAATAAATAAATAAATAAATAAATAAATAAATAAATAAATAAATAAATAAATAAATAAATAAATAAATAAATAAATAAATAAATAAATAAATAAATAAATAAATAAATAAATAAATAAATAAATAAATAAATAAATAAATAAATAAATAAATAAATAAATAAATAAATAAATAAATAAATAAATAAATAAATAAATAAATAAATAAATAAATAAAACAGGTTATAAAAGTAATTTTAAAAAACTGACTTCCAAATAGTTAAGATGTCCTTAAAAATTGAAATTTTTGATTTTCTCATAGATCAACAGATCCTGACCAATTGTATAAGGAACTACCCCTAAGGTATCCCCTTTCTAACAAAAAAAGAATCAGAAATCGGACAACGTGGTAAATAATTATAGCTGAAAATACATAAAAAAATTAAGAGTGATGATTTTCTTATCCACCCCTGAGGTGCCCCCTTTCCAACAAAAAAGAATCTCAGAAATCGGACAACGTAGTAAAGAATTATCGCTGAACATACATAAAAAATATATATTCCGACGAATTGAGAACCTCCTCCTTTTTTGAAGTCGGTTTTGGACTTAGTGGATTTTCCTTGTACGCCCACGATATATTTATAGGAAAGTAAAAATTATGCATAAAATAAAAAAAAAACTAATTTACTTGGCCTGGAGCTATCACGGTTTGCTTCGCAAAAAAATAATACATACAAGCATTAAAAGTAATTTTAAAAACCGACTTCAAAATCGTGTAGATGCCATCACCACATCTTAACCAAATTTATATGAGACCACCCCTTTCTAACAAAAAAAGAATCATAGAAATCGGACAAGGTGGTAAAGAATTACCGATAAACATACATAAAAAATGAAGAGTTTGAGGATTTTCTCATAGACCCAGTTATTAGATTTTTACCAAATTTATATGGGACCACCCCTAAGGTACCCCCTTTCTAACAAAAAAGAATCATTGAAATCGGACACTGTGTTAAAGAATTATCGCTGAACATACATAAAAAAAACAACGAATTGAGAACTTCCTCCTTTTTTGAAGTCGGTTAATAAAAATAAGAAAATTAAAAAAAAATAATTTTCCTAACCTGTGCGGCCCGGAGCCATCTGTTGAAATTCGGTGGTACAACTAGGCAGTAGTTATAACACGGCAGTATCGCTTTGATCTGGGGCTGGTCTACGAGAATATGTCAAACAATCAATATGTATGTAATATTTTGACCCAGCTCTTTTTTAAACTCTTATTTTTTCATTACTCTTTTACGTCTTAACCTCATTTCCCCGGCGCTATTTTATCTGATCGATTTTTGTTCTTGCGCTGTATTAGCCTGGCGATATTCTTTTTGCGCTATTCCGTCCCACGCTATATTTTCTTGCGCTATTCAGTGGCGGTGCCAGAGTAGCCACGTTGATGTAAACGCCACGTTAATGAGCACCTATTAATTTAGAATATTTAAATGGTATTTTCAACAGTTTTTATACATTTGTGAGCTACCTATTCTGCAAAAGCATAAACTTCATATTAAGAGTGCAATATAACTAATAGACCGATGGCTGGGGGTAAAAGAATCTACCTTATAAGATACCAAAAGTTTACTATTAGAAGTATATAACGAAATGTCATGAAATGGTCGCCCTCATTAGGTCAAATTAACGAAAAAAATAATAGTTTCCAATTTTATTGCCCAATTAATTCCAGGGTAATATGTAGAAATGGAATTAGACTTCTGAGGAATATAAAAAATATTTATTTTGTTTAAAAATAAAATGTACACATGTAAAAAATGGTCGTCTGTCTTCTTGTTCTCTTCTTAATATTTTTTATTTATCTCTGTTCCTTTTTTCTACCCCGTCTCCCTATCAACAGTCGTCAAGGCTCGACGGGTAAGGATGCACTTTCAAAGGCCATGGACTATGATTATGAAGACTTTAATCTTCATAACTATGATATACCTGCTTACCCGGTGAATAACATTTTGCAGGTGCAACTCTATTTAAAATATGGCACCAAACACTGCATAGTATAGAAAAATTCACCAGAGGTGAAGTACCTCAAATCAAAACAAATAATGACTGCGAACTGTCAGAAAAATTCAGTTCATTTTATCTTTACCGAGTAAAAAATACGTCTGTATCCAATTTGTTTTTAAATAATGGTTATTTATTAATGTCTACTAATCATACTCTATGTAACAAACGAAATGAAAAGTGAGAACAACGAGAAGAAAAATATACCACATACCTATAATAGTAACCACCCATTTATTTCATCAAAGTGAGAACATTACTATTTTTCATCAAATAAGGAATATAATGTGTATTCTTTCCAATAAAATTGTAAATATTGTTCAAATAAGTGTTAAGTGATATTTTGATGTTGTTTACAGAAGATTAAGTATTAAATTATAT